TCGAATCCGAAGAAAATGCGAGCTAGACATAAGTGAACAGCAAATGGGATTTCGCGAGGGACTGGGGACGAGAGAAGCCCTGTTTGCGCTATCGGTGCTTTTGCAGAAGTGCAGAGATCAACGAAAGGAGGTACACCTATGCTTCATAGACTACACGAAGGCATTCGACTGCGTCAACCACAGGGAATTGCTGAGCATCCTTGAAAGAAGAGGCCTGGATACCCAAGACCTGAAAATTATCCAAAAGCTATACGAACAACAAGTAGCGACAGTAAAACTACAGGACACTGAAACAACAGCAATACCTATCAAGCGTGGAGTTAGGCAAGGATGCGTATTGAGCCCTATGCTCTTCAATATGTACTCCGAACTAATATTTCGAAATGCGCTTGAGGGATCAGAAGACGGCATAAAAGTGAATGGCAGGCTGATTAACAACATGAGATATGCTGATGATACCGTCGTTATTGCAGACACCACTGAGGGCCTGCAAAGACTTCTTGATAGACTGTCCTCGGTGGGCGACTCAATGGGTCTCAGGATAAATACAAACAAAACAAAAGTCATGGTGATAAATAGAGATGCAAGACAGGCAACGGAGGTAGTCGTAGGTGGGACACCAATAGCAAGAGTCTCAAAGTTTAGATATTTGGGCAGTTGGATTAGTGAAGACCTAAACCCAGACATTGAGATCAGAGCTCGAATTGAGATGGCTAGATCAAACTTCCTAAAATTGCGGAACCTACTGTGCGATAAACGTCTCAACATCCATATAAAAGACAACTTCGTCAAGTGCTACGTACTTTCCACACTTCTCTACGGGGTTGAGTCGTGGACACTCAAAGTAAGCGCAATGAATAAGTTGGAAGCATTTGAGATGTGGGTATATCGCAGAATGCTGAGAATACCATGGACTGACCGTGTCTCGAATGAACGAGTTCTAAACCAAATGAACAAGGACCGAGAACTCCTCGATGTAATAAAAAAGAGGAAAGCAGCCTATTTGGGCCATATCATGAGACATAGCAAGTATGAATTCCTTCAGCTCATCATCGAGGGTAAAATTGAGGGAAAGCGCGGACCCGGACGACGGCAATGCTCCTGGCTGAAGAACATTAGAGATTGGACAGACCTGGACTCACATACTTTGCTGAAAAGAGCGAAAAATGGAGAGGAATTTGCCATGATTGTTGCAGATCTTCACTAAATGGAGAAGGCACTTTAAGAAGAAGAAGAATAATTATGCAGGGTGAGTTTTCTACGATGTTCTCTATGGCTATCTCGGAAACTACTGGAGATAGAGAGTCGGTTAAATGGAGAAAGAATTGCAGTTTTGTGGGGTCATAAATATGAGCCTTTCAGATTTTTGAAAAAATTCATGGCTTACTAGATATTTCGAAAAAAACAAATTTGGCCATGACTTCATAAAAAGCGCCATTTTTTAAGCTTTCTAATCAGCGATATAAGCTATAATATGTTTTTTTTTCGAAAAATAACTGAGTTATAGCCAATTCTTATCTTTCTTGACTAATTTCACCTAGTTGGTATGGTATTCTTATTCTGTTATGATTTATAACTTATAAAAATACAGAATATTTTATTAAACGATTCTTTACAATTTACATTGCACAAACTAAAACTTGAAAGAAACTAATATCACTACATACACTTTAAGTTATTTTAGCGAATGTTCAAAATAAACGCCATTATTTTGAGTACATAAAATGCATCTTTATAAAACTGAATTACAAGCTTTTCCTACAGAATGATCTGTCTTTAATAAACTTCTCCCGTACCGCCTCTTCGAGTGCATCTCTTAATACATAACTTCTTTTGTCAACCTTGTTGTTAACCATACCGCAAAAAAAAATCTAAAATGGATAGGTCAGGTGATCGAGGAGGCCCATGCAAATGGTCCACCTCTTCCTATCCCTAAGTTAGCATAATTATGATAATAATAAATTTTAACATTTCTTTCATTATGAGGGGGAATGTCATAATGAAAATCATGTTGGAACCACTTTATTGATGCGCGACTATCTAACTTTAACTTTTCTAAAAAACGTAAGTAACCTTCACCGGTCAACGTATCCTCGTAAATGTATGGCCAAGAAAAGTTGAACCAATAATCCTACACACTATTCTTCGTTTGAAAAATTCATATTTACAATTTTTGTTTATTTTAATTTATTAAGTTTGTATGTGACAGTTTCACATTACTGAGAGCAACGACAATTGAACTTGTTTCCATGGCTAACTAAGTGAAATTGTTTAAAAATGATAAGAATTGGCTATACCTCAGTAATTTTTCGAAAAAAAAAACATATTATAGCTTATATCGCTGAAAAGCTTAAAAAATGGCCTTTTTTTGAAGTCATGGCCAACTTCCATTAAAAAAAACATATGTTTGTGTCATATGTCAAAAATGAGAGGCTTTAGAAAAAAACTGAGGACACAATCTCATTAAGGATGTGATTATTTTTGACAATTTCCCATAGTAAATATAGAATTTTTGGACAAAGGGACGCGACGAAAGTCCCATACTTACACTTCGCTACTTCACTTCCTTCCTTCGTCGCGTCCCTTCGTCCAAAAATCTTATATTTACTATGGGAAATGTCGATTTTATGCGACTGTGTGTTCCTTCGTCAAAACGCTCCTTCGTCCGTTTACTTCCTCGAAACGCTCCTTCCCCGTACTGTCAGTTTTTGAACGAAGTAGCAAAGGAATAATCACGAACACAAAAAAATATTAAAATATATAAAATATATAAATCGATCTTGGATTTCATTCGTAGTTGATTTCTTGATTTGGCAGTACGTCTGTACAGGGCGTCCCATTTTCGTGTGTTTTGCAGGGTTTCTGGTTTATGAGTCGAGATACAAAGATGCGGTTTGCACATTACGCTGTTACTTTTTTATGAAACTAAAGATGCTACATACAGATATGTCCTAGCTCTCTTACTTAAAATACAGGGCGAATCTGAGATTATTGTATTTTTCGATCCCCTTTGTATCATAACTTATCGAAAAGGCGAAAACGGTCTCCCGTTTTTCACGTAGAATGCAGTGACGTAACTATTTCTTGGTTGGAATCTGTCTTTTTTAAATTGACTAAAACTTATATGTTTTTTTAAATGCGATATTTTGTATATTATTTTATTTTCCTTGTTACGGGCTTTCTAAAATACTTATTTTCATAAAAGTGGTAAAAATGCATTATTTAACTTTATTACATAGTCGGCCGGTTTAAATTAGGTAGTCAAAACAATCAACTAAAATTATCTGGTAAAATTAAGTTAAATAAAATAAGAGCCGTTTAGCAGTTTAGCAGTACCTAAATAAATAAATATAGAGTATATTATAATTTTAGAAAGCTCATAACAGGGCAAATAAAATAAAAGATAATATATAGAGTGTCCTGTTTAAAAAAAGAAGTTTGAGTCATTTTTCGAAACTAGTACTAGTTTCGTCACTGCATTCTACCTGAAAAACGAGACACGGGCGGTGGGTAAATACTCAATGGGTAGAACAAAACAAAATCAGGGTATCCGGTATATACCTGTACATTTAGATGAACAGTCTAATTTTATAAAAGGTATTTTCAACGACCGCATAGTAAATACCCGGTATAATACCAGTAATATCAAGAATACGAGTATATCTACAATATTCCTTATATATATATATATATTGGTATATTTCTATTCCCGGTATTATACCGGGTATTTACTATGCGGTCGTCGGAAACTCCTTTTATTAAAATTAGGATCTTCATCTAAATCTACAGGTTTTATTTATTCCCAGATTTTATTTATCTACAAAGTTATAAGATAATCGAGATACAAAGGTTATCGAAAAATGCAAAAATTTCTACTAATTAAAAAATAAAAAGTAGAAGAAAGAAATAAGAAATAACTTTAAACTAAGAAGGCTAGGATAAATCTGTGTATAGCATATTTAGTTTCATAATAAGTAGAACAATGATGTGAAAACGGCATCTTTATATCTCTACTCATAAACCAGAAACCCCATAAAATACACAAAAATGGGACATCCTGTACATCTAACAATCGCCAGTCGATATAAAAATGATTCACACACAGTAGTCTGAAAAATGGAAGAAAAAAACAATATTGTCTTCATATTTATGAAAAAATACATGTCCAGATTTATGTAATCGTAGCGACAAAAATAAAAAAAATAGAAAGAGTATGCATGATGCCTTTACAAAAATATCTGAAGAAATGGGGATTGACATCAACATTTAATTACTATGTCATATTTCATAGTTTCGATATAAATTACATAATAAACTTTACTCTATTGTTGACTCGCCTTGTACATTCATACTGATATACCTTGTACATGATACTGAAATATTCGGATTTATTAAAAAATATATATTATTAAAATTCGATTTTTATTTTTGACATGACAAAGAATTGCCGTTTTATAAAATAAAAATTATGCGCCTTTCGGATTTTTTAAAAATTTTAGAGTTTACTAGATATTTCATAAATATGTAGCTGCTATATTAAAAATATTTGGTGGTGTGTTGTTGCATAATCCACTAATTTCCAAGCATCGAATGGACGAAGGAAGGAAGCGAAGGGACGAAGGAACGAAGTGAAGTGACGAAGGAACGCGAGGAAGTAACGCGAGGAAGGGACGAAGGAGCGAAGTGTGAGTATGGGACTTTAGGCTTGCCTCATTGCGGGTACTATTTTCGTACTATATTTTATTATCGCTGTTTGCCTTCTGCTTTTCACGGACAAATTGATTTTTTTCGCCAACGGCGGTAACGTGTCTGTAATTTTTTCGATGTCTCAAGTAATTATTATAACCCTATTTATATCTAAAATGATATATGAAAATTTAGATATATTATAAAAACACATTTTTAAGACGAGCTTAAATAACAAATTCGTAATGCGGTTATCCCTATCTCCACTCCCGATATAATTTATAGCAAGTTTGAAATCTGTTACCAGTACTTACCACGATATTATTTAATATAAAGGTAAGGGTGGCAGCTGGTCTGGATTGCGGCGAACTACAGTATGCTTTCAACACATCGCCGACCTCGTAGAAACTTTTATCCGCCGTTAGACTTGGAGGACTCTTTGGCAAAACTGTAACAAAGTGTATAATTTATTATATTGTACAGAAGTTGGCGCAACTTTTCTTTCACACACTCGATTTTTGGGAGAGCTCGGATTGTATCACTATAGAAAAATATCTAATATATGTCGCCATTTCTCGAGCATAACTATTTTAGGTTTTCCGAACAAACTTTGACAATATTTATTTCATTTGTGTTTTTTCTTTTCTAGTTTTATTTTTCATTTCAGCTTTGCTAAAGATATTGTATCGATGTCTAAACACTTTTTAGATAAATAAGGTCTACGCCTTTGTAGCGGGTTCATTTCTGAAAAAAAATTGTAGGTTTTTGCCAGTAGAAGACAATCTATATCATTACAAAACATGCACATTTCAAAAATATACACCATTTCTTTTTTATTAATAATTTATAATTACATTTATTATACTATTTTAAAATTGAAAAAGATTGTAACGATTGCAGAAATCCAACGGTGTATATTTTCTAAAAAAATTGTGTTTGGCAATTTGTAAATATAAGGTACAAAGGCGTTAAAGTTGTACAAAAGTATACAACTTTGACGCCTTTGAAACCTCAAATCAACCTTGTCACGAATTCGCCTATTAGGTTGTGTATCTTCCCAATTAATTCAACACTGATAAAAAAGATAGACTTGAACTAAAGTCGTCATCGTTCTTGAAAAAAAAATTTAGTGGCAAGAGAATTTAATTTAGCGTAAAAGAAAATATGTTCCCTGAAGAAAAACTCTCTTAACTCAGGAAAACCTGTTCTCTTGAAAAATTCGAAAATTTCTCTTGGATCTATTTTCATTCAACCAAGTGCCAGTTACTTTGTTTTAAGATAATAACAAAAATACGCTAGGAAGTACTTCATTCAAGAAACATGGCCATTTTTCCAATAGCTAAATACTCTTTTGATGAAAAATAATAACGACACGCAAAGACGATGACGAAGGATGGTATATACAATCAGTCGGCAGTCCGATCAGTCATATGTCGCATTTCATAGGTCGCACGGGTTTTGTTGCTTGGAATTTTCCACTTGGAATTCTGCATAATTTGCTTTTTAAACGCATATCATATAACAAATTAGTGATCGTTATTAACATGTATTTGTCATTTTTTATGGACAAATTTTCGGATATATGGATTCTTTAAAGGAGTTTCTGAAAAAATGGAAATTAGAGCATTTATTTGCTTTATTTGAAGGTAAGAGACATTTACCTAATACACCTGTTTAGATAATGCATAGAATAAGAATATAGGTATCGATTTTTTTATGCAAACAATTACAAAAATTTTAGAATTTCAAGTCGTCGTATTAAAAAATTCAAAATGTGACCAAAGCTTATAATTTTAATAATTTGTTTGCTTTACTTTGATTAATCGTGATGTAACATTTTTTTGTAATTTGTAGAGTGATGAACCACCCCAAAAAATTCCAAGGAGTGAAGAAGCAGAAATAACTACCTACTCTCGAGGAAAATAATATCACTTTACTTACTACAGACTAGGAAAACCTAAATTTATCAGAAAATAATATACCTCGTAATATGCCTGTATGCCTGTATATGATGTAGAGACTTCTCTTAGATCAAAATAAATTTTAGTTAAGTCAATGGTATTCGCTATTGGTTTAAGAAAAGTGTATCTTTAATCAAGAAATGTCCTTTTCAATCAAGAATTTTTGTTCTCTTGTAGCAAGAACTTCTTTGCATATTAATTTGGGGTCAAGAGTGAAATACTTTGGACAGATAGATTCTTCTATTCTCTAAAGTAATTTTTTAAAGCTTAAGAAAAGAGAGTTAATGCTTTGGGCAAAGAAACGTCGTTCTTGGCCCTATTGCAAAGCGCCAATATTTTGGGTCAAAGTCATATTCATTTCGAGAGGTAGATCCTTTTTTTCAGTGAATGAATGGTACTACTTAGTTTACTAAAACGCGAGATAACCCGAGATAACTCATTTGTATCCAAAATGGGACATTAATATGTACATCAAGTCACATAAGGACGTGACGACCGTATCATCGGGCCATTTAAAAAGTCATTTTACCTAGCGTAGAGTTTGAATAGAACGAGTATATTAGTATCAATAACCGATTTCAATTAAGCCCACTTGTATCGACAATGTGCTATTTTGCATCATTCTCGATATCTGAAATCGAACGCATAAGTTAATACCTGTTAAGTGTATATCGCACCATAAAAGTCGCAGAATAGCGGAATGGAATATTAAACAGGTAGCGATTGCAAAAAGTCTCATTAAGGGCAGGATTTGGCGAATATTAAACGTAGATAACGTATGCGAATATCGGCTGCGATGCAGAATTCGTCTGCATAGACGCAAGTGATTTTAATAATGGATACGGCACTTTTCTGCTGTAATTTTCCATTTTTAATTGAAATTTGAGTTACTTTTGTGTAAAATTACCATTATGGAATTTACTTTTTAATATCTTCAAATATTTAACGTACTTTTAATACAGTTTCAGAAATTTCATCACTTTAACCTTAGGATACACATGTTCGACGCTTGGAACTCTATGTTTATCTACCACCGGAGAAGACGTACATTATCTTAGCAGTTGAAAACCGGAGTGGTTTAAGTCAAAAAATGTATTTTTGAGATATGTGGCTTCAAAGTTTATATAATATATATAATATATATATATATATATATATATATATATATATATATATATATATATATATATATATATATATATATATATATATATATATATATATATATATATATATATATATATATATATAATGATACATAATTAACATAAAGATGATACATAATTACCATAATGATGATACATAATTACCATAATGATGATACATAATTAACATGACGATGATACATAATTAACATAATGATACATAATTATCATAATGATGATACATAATTAACATAACGATGATACATAATTAGCATAATGGTGATACATAATTAACATAATGATGATACATAATTACCATAATGATGATACATAATTAACATAACGATGATACATAATTAACATAATTATGATACATAATTACCATAATGATGACACATAATTAACATAACGATGATACATAATTAGCATAATGATGATACATAATTAACATAATGATGATACATAATTACTATAATGATGATACATAATTACCATAATGATGATACATAATAAATCATAAACTATCTGAATTGTCTCCAAGAATTTAAGTATTCTCTTCTATAATCATACCAATGGTATGCTGCTCCACTTAAATGAGAACGCGCAGTTTCCAACATAAATGCTGGAGGCCAGTTATGCAGTTGTGCGGCACTTTCTATACTCTCTAACCAAAATTTACTTTTCTTCAAATCAATACCGTCGAAAAATGGAATGGATTTCGAAAAATCAGGCATAATATTATAATTTGGAATATCCCGTTTTTGATTTTGACGGTCGTTCATCATTTGCAGTATAATGGCATTTTGTTGGATTATAGCCTGCATCGTATTCAATACAGCATTTAAATTCACAGGCTCACCCTGTCGTGTCTGTGTATTATTACTAATAGGCAGCTCTACTTGACTTCGGTAAAATTTTCAAAATTTGATTCCAGTACAGGATTTGGGCTAATTTCACTATCCTGTTCACTCATACTTCTCATAAAAGAACGTCGGACGATTATCCCACTTCTGAATTTGTTATCTCCTTTACAAAATTCCTTTTGAAATAAATTCAATTTAAATATTTAAACTTCTGACGACTTTATTACTAAAACGTTAATATAATATTATCACCTGTAAACAAACAATCTACGAATAGAGATCGATTGTTATATATCTCTAACACATAAGATATTAACATTGTAACTTTGATTTTGTAACAAAATGGGACCAACTTAAATTTTCTAATAAAAGTAGATGGTATTTTATGTCTATTTTGTATTTTTGAGTTTTTTGACTTGGACCATTCTGGCTTTCAATTGATTGATACTATTCGTGCATAATCTAAAATACGTCTTCCTCTAAATAAAAAAATATATTTAAAAAAAAATGTAATTACGTCTTAAAATGTTAATAAGAAAGTTAACAATACCGTGCTGGCAACTGTTATTTTTGGGTCTAAAGAGATAAAAAAACCTAGATAAAATCATTAGACATGTTTCTGAGCATCTGAAATGGAATTATAAGGATATCGTTAGGGTGTCATTTTTTTTATAACGAGAAAACGTCAGTAATCGCGATAATTTAAAAATTCAACTTTTTAAAAGATCGGATATTTTACAATATGTTTACATAAGAAAAATTCGATAAGGTTGTTTTTTCCATTCAAAAATTGTAAACAATCCATCCATTTACTTTTAGAGCATAGAAATTTTTAGCAATCGTGTAATTTTTTTATTGATGAAAATTTTCACATACTGTCTACAAAGAAAATACAGCAGAAATATTAACAAAGTTCTTGAAAAAACTACAATCTATTATTTCTAATAGATTTCCAGATATCGATTTTTGAATTCAGAGTTCTAATAGCGCGACCACTATCGAACACCAACACAATTCCACTTATTTTTACCAAAAATGCAAGTGTTTCTAGCTTGCACTTAAAAAAATTCAAGCTATAGGGAAAATTACAACGATTCGTTAATAAATAAACAAATTAAGTATCACGAGACGTAATTAAATCGTGAAGCTGAACGAATGATGTAAACCTTTCCCTAGAACTTTAAGTACTGACAGAGGTACTGATTGGGTCGGCCGCTCGACTACGACAAATCTGCTACATCCACTTCCACGTCTCTTAGCAATATGTGCACAGTTTCTCGGTTTATTTCATGTGTTTGGCAACGTGTTTACTGTTCCCTCTTTGTTCGGTACATTATAAAATGCATTGTACTCTCCTTACATACGGAAATCTCGACCCAAGACTAAGCTTTGCCAGCCCTTAGTATAAAGGTTTAATAAGTTAAGAAATATATCTGATATCAGAATTATCAAAAACACCCTGTTAAGCTTCTTCATACG